GGATAGATGGATAGATGGATACATGGATACATGGGTGGATAGATCGATGCATTGAAACAGATAGATGGAAAGGTGGATAGATAGATAGATAGATAGATAGATAGATAGATAGCTTAGATAGAGTATACCACTCGGAAAACGCAGACTGCTGCGTCTCGAGCTAGCTGCCAGTAGCTTGCTTGTGTGCTTGCAAGGAGTGTGGGATCCGACACAACCTGCATGGCCCTGTGGATGAAGTCTTGAGTCTTGAGCAAAATGCCGCGAGTCGCTTATGATCGCTTAAGCCTGACGAATCCCGAAAAAATCAGCCCGTGGCAGAGATACCCACCACGGGAAAAAGCAGGTGCCATCAAAAAACTTAGAAGGGACCTCCGAACCGTTTTCTGCGAGGTCCAGCCATTCTTTGGCAGCACGGTGGTTTGAAGCGGATGAGAAGCTACCGGATGTACTATCAGATCCGAGAACGCGTGCGAATAATGGTGCAGGATCTAGGCGATTTACTTATTTGCTTTGTGGGCTTCATTGCACACACTAAGCAACGTTTGCATTGCCCAGAGGATCCACCCACAAACCACGACGCTTTCTGATCTGTTCTTCTCTGGGAGGGATACCGCTGGCTGCATCTCAGCAAAGGCTCAGAAGCTGTGATTCTACTTCCTCGAAGTGGCAGGCACGAGCTTGCGGTCCGCCCTTGTTGTTTCCACAATCTCGAAACCAGCACACGGCCTGTCCTGCAGACGCTTCTCCAGGAGGGAGTTCTTGCTGATCCGGGCCTGCTGCGATCATGTGCGCATGTCAGCTGTCGTGGCTTCGCAACGACGCCAATCAGGCATCATTGCCTGGCGCTCTCTCTCGACCTCTGGCAACAGCTCAGCGATCCGAGCTTCTAGTTGCGCCCTGGCTGAGAAACGTAAAGCGAACAAAGAACTCGTCGCTGACTGCCGCTTGATCGTGTCACAGGTCAATGCTTCCCCGTGCTTCACGGCAACCGACTCCCACCCTAATCGTGGCAGAATCGCAATTTTTCCAAGGCAGCACCTTGCCAGCAAGCGGTGAACCGATGGGCTCAACAGAAGAACAGACTCGTGCTCCTCCACGCACAGCGCTCCGTGCATGGGTTGATGCGCACCGTAGAAGGTGGATTCGAGCACAGGCGCGGCCGAGGACTCGCACACCGGCATGCACACAGGCCGCGACAGCTTCGCACGGGGAAACTTGGCACACTGGGCGTTTGGACATGTCTGATTGTTAAACAGGAATTTGGACATGTCTGATTGTTAAACAGGAACCCCAAATCCCCAAACCATAAAATCCCCGAACTCGAAATCAAAAATCTTGATGCGTGTGCGCTCTTGAGCGCCACGTGCTTGCAGTTTCAGCGCTTGAACATGCATTCGCGCGGCAACAACTACTGCCTGAATCGTGATTGCGCGTGTGACTCTTCGCAGCGATTGTGGCGCTCCAACGTTGCCGGATGTTGCCGGCAAGCTGACTGCACGGGTTAATCCCACAGTACAGAGAACTGGGAAGCCGTTTCCAGTCCGCCCATTTGTGCTGAAGAGCCCTTGAAATCTGGATTTGGGCCTGGTCCTTTTGTCCAGCGAAGATTTTGCTCCCTGCCCACGAAGGTTTTCCTTTACTACGAGTCAGGACATGCGGGAAGGAAAGAGGCGAATCAGGAAACAGTCCGCTGAGACTCGGGAAATACGTAGGCAACACGGGTGAACACATGTCCAGAGGTCCAGAGAGGGTAACCTAATTTTGCGAATGCAGGCACGTGGGCTGTTCTACAGGTCATTTAACAGGTTTGGTGCCTCAGCAAAACGCCCGCCCGCCAAGTGTTCTTCGGCGATCCTTTTTGAAGAAAGCTCATTTCTCTGTCCCTGCCTGACCAAAGCCTCGTAAAGGTTGCTCTCCTCCGATTTCCCGCGTTTTGGGCCTCCATTTCTGTCTCCACACCGAAATCGCGGAACATTGTCACACAAACCCAAAGAACTAGCTTTTAGTGCCTGGGTGGTGTGGGTGTTGAAGTTGAACTATCCACTTCCACCATGCTGGCTGAGGATCTGACGTTTTGCCTGCCCTTGGTTGGCCTCAACATTGCAGATGTGTAGGGAAATATGCCGAGAGTAAAGTAAAAGGTCCCGTTCTCTGCGTCAGGCCTCACCGTCGTCTGTCGACTGGTCCCTGCAGAGAACTTGACATGTCGGTTTACTACACTTGTACAGGTCCAACACTTTGCCATGACAGTGAAAATTGGAACTTATTGCTGCTGTTTTCCCTTAGTCTTTCGCACGTCTTTCGCCTTGTCATCTTTGAAGAAATGCGACCAAAGTTGGCTGGTGTGCCGCTTCGAGAGGCCAGTCGCGCGGAATTGTCAGAGCATCTTGCTTGACTAGGCCTTGGCTCCTTCTACCGGAATTTGAGCATGAAGCTCAATGCCTATATCAGCGTCCATCTTTGTGTGTTTGCCTCTGAGTTCGTGCGTAAAAATGTGCATGTGCATGTTCGGCTTGCATGCAAGTGTGCGCGTGCGGGTGTGCACATTCCTACTTGCGCGCATACATGTGCGGGTGTGCGCGGGCGATCATGGACAAGCATGCTCGAGCATGTACATGTGCACGCATGATTTCACAGGGGAGTGGCTGGGTTGGCTGGTAGTCTGCATAACCGTGGGCGGTGTATGCCATGGTGTGACAAAGCCCTGCGGCAACCCTTTTAGCGATTTGACGTGTTCAGCAGCCCTGCCGCATCCACAAAAGCTTCCCGCATCTCGTCCACAAAAATGTCTGCGCCGGATGCGATGCTATGCAACTTTTGTCGATATCAAACATCCTTGTCACCAATGCCAACTCTATTTTGGTTTAATGCAAAAACACAAATATAATTCATCATCATCATCGTCGTCAAAAACACAATAATCATAAGCCATAGCTGCAAGTCATCATCACAATACGAATAATGCGTAATACGAGAGAAGGCAAGGATATTAAAACTATACTGTAACCACACCAACAACAACAAGAAGCACAAGAATTTCAATTGCACGCGGCGCGAGCGGGCTCTGCGCATAGCGGGCAAGTAGCCGCCTTGGCACTCACAAACAGTGAAACCGACCTATACTGCCGTGAGCCAACAAGTCAGTAACGGCGAAGTACGCAGCAAATCAGAGACCTAGAAAAAACCTAAGAAAAACAACCGATGTTGCTGCAGATTCGCCGGGAGAAAAGTCACGATTGGATATCGCAGTGAAAAGGCTGATGCATCAGGCTTTGCCTCAGCATAACCATAGCAGCTGGCCAGGGGCCCCGTGGAGAACTACTGGTGCCTCACTGCAGTTGGCCAGGGGCCCTTGCCGGATGTTGTTTCGCCAGCTCAGGAATAGGACCGATCCACGCCACGCTGCCCCGTACGCGTATTAGGCCGACGAGCACATGAGACCTGTCCACCACCT